TCCCCCCCCCCCTTCTCTCAACAGTGAACCTATGGTTATTGCTCATTCCTGCTGTATATGCCACCAACTATCAAGGTCCAGAACTGGCCACTTACACCTCTGATCAGCTTGAATGACTGACTGTTTATCATAATACTTTTCAGTACCTAACACTTGGGGAATTTTATTTTAGTTTGTGTATGTGTTGAGGGTAGGAGGGGAAGAAATGTAGGTTTGTGTGGATCTTCCCAAATATTAAAGGTTTTCTAATGCATAATTGTATTGTGTGCTTTTGAAGACCATTTTTCATGCAACCCTGAAAATATTGTCAGTCTTGCCTCCTGTGAAAACAGGTTTCACAGTGTGAATTTGTGGCATGTTTTAGCTCTCTCTCTTTTGTTATACTGCCCCCCCCGCCATGCACTCATGAGTTTTGTGCTCCAGGCAAATTGTCCTGCTATTCTTGTGAAAAGCCACTATTCCACCAGATGGCAAGAGGAATATTTACTAGGTACTGTATAGCTCAGTGCAGATTCATATATTTGAGCTTGCCTCTTGAAGTTGGACAGACCACAGTGCTGGCTTGAAATGTTGATAGTAATTTGTGCTGTTGACTTGAGCTCCAATCTGCACTCAGTAAAGAATCTAGTCTAGGTGTGTTCTTGCAGCTAAACAAGTGAGTTGCCAAGATGTGAATGTGAGGGCCATCAGCCTAGCCACATCCATCTCTCATAAGATGGGGTGCAGTTCTGTCCAGCAGGCTGTGGAGAAAAGTGAACTATTTTACCACCATATAGGTATTTTGGCACCTAGAATCATTGAGGAATCTAGAGGACCCCCCAGCTGCAATCTCACTACAGTATGGGTAACTTTAAATTGTATTTTACTGCAAGTGATATTAAATAATCAGGATTTGGTGTCTGAACAACTGATTTCAGCTTTCTTGATACGTCTTTGTTCAAAATAGTGTGATATACTCATTCTACCCTTAAAATAAAATGTTTAATCTCTCAAAATCTAGCAACGCAAATCTTCTTCAGATTTTAAAGGCAAGTTTACTTGCAAGTGGAGGCCAAGCAAGTGCAGAAAACTTGAGCTGCTGAAGTGATAGCTTAAGAGAAGTTGATCATGTGAAGAGCTTTGTAGCTGGTAGCTTTGTAATGAATGTCTTAATGAAATCTTCAGTTATAACCAGTGCTGTCCATAATGCATATAAATTTTGTTGCTTGGAATTGTCAAATGGAAGCAGTGGCATTTGAGAAACATGTCAATGAATCTCTACAAAACACAGATTTCCACTCAAAACTGACTTCTTTGTCTTCTGTTTTGACAGAACCAGCATGACTGCCAGGTGTCTTTTGCCGTTTTAAATCTAAAATATCTGGAGCAGGGTGCACTTAACCAAATTCTGCCATCTGTGTAGTCTAAAAGCAAAATTAACTGAGGAAAATATTCAGGCAGTAAATAATTTAAGGTCATCATGTTCTAGTGAAGCTAACTTTCTGAATTCGAGGTAAATATAGGAGTTAGTAGAAAAAAATCTTTAAAAGGTAGGCTTTGATTTGTTTTTCTTTTGAAGTTCATTAGTGTATATAGTAGGTGCATCTACACAAGACACGTTTTACTGTGGGGTTGCCTCATTAGCTCCGCAGTGAAGCATCACCATCTACCTGTGCACCCTTATTAGGCTGGTATAAACTAATTAATTCCTCTGTAGGATAATACTGCCTGACACAAGTACTGTCCTACAGCAGAGTTATTTACTTTGCTGCATTGCATGTGTAGATGATGCCCAGGGCTTCCTGGGGCATGAGGGTGCTACAGTACAGGGGCTGCCTGCCAGCTAGCCCTTCACTGTAGCACCCTTTTGCCCCAGCCAGCCCCTCTGCAGCACATTCAACTGGGGCAGAGCAGCTCCAGGCTGGCAGGCTGACCCCCAAAGGCCCCTGCCAGCCAGGGCTGTGCTGTCCCAGGTGCACATGTAAATGTGCGCCCAGGAGGAATGAACTCCAGCACAAACTGTGCCAGAGTTTCTTTGCATCATATTAAGATCATGTGTACATGTGCCCAGTATATTTCATCTGTACTGTGCTTTTCGTTGCAACTGGAGATGATTGCTATGGATAAGGATGATTTAGGAAACTAATAGGATGAGTAATTTACTGATATATCTATGAATAGCTGGACAAGTAGTATGTTCAGTAATGTCCCAGTTCTGTATCCATGGAAGACTAATAACCTATCTAGGTGCTTAACTGCCTGTCATCGCTGTGGTATATGAGCACCGTAAGCCTCATACAGACATTTAGTTTCTCTTGGTTTCTCCTGGGAGAGCAGCAACTCTTCCATGTGGATGCAGATATTCAGGGTTTTTTTTGCCAGAGTAAAAATGGCTGGTGCAGGAGAAAAATAATTCTGGAACAACCAGGGTTAAATCACTGCAAAGTTTCACCTGGGAGAGTTAATATCTATACCTGCTGTGGCTTCTCACAGAAGAAAACAGCCCTTCAGTATGCTTTACCCTCCATCTCCCCTGTGCTTCCCTACCCTCTGGGGAGATGGTGTATCACTCATTGGACTCTGCTGCTCCAGCAGGGAGCACAATGCATACATCCCCTTTGCCATCATTGTGCTGCAGGGAAATACAGGAAATGGGGCAGTCTGGGTCAGCCAGTCAGGGCTGTCCTGTGCACTGCTACCATCTGTTGCCAGGTAGATTAAGAAAGTAGAGTACCCTGTGATATATGTATAGGACACCCCTCCTCCCCCTTCCTTCCCTCCTGCAGGTACTGCAAGCTTTCCATTCTTCAAGGCATGCTCATTCTGTTGTCTGTACATGTATGTCCGGGTGCATTTCTCTACCAGAAGAACAAACCAGGGCAAATTCTTCCAGGTTAACGTAATGTGTATACACAGTCATGGATTGGCATTGGTGAATTTTAGGGCTAACATTAAAGAACTGAACACAGAATTTGTAGCTTCTCTCTAGAAATTTTAGTCTCTCCCACTGATGATATAGTGTATATTTCCTCTGTGTCTTTTTTTCTTTTCCCCCCTCCCCAGCAGTTTGTCCTTTTATTTATTAATTGTAGGTTACCAATGCCAATGACCCCTGGTCAAACTGGAACGCGGGTAAATCTGGAAACTGGGACAGCGCAAACTCTGGTGACAGCTGGGCAACCAAACCTGAAAGTGCAGCTGGACAGAAAAACAGTGCTTCAAACAACTGGGAGGCAGCAGGAGCATGAG